GAGATGGATAAGGGGAGAGTGGACCTGGAATCGGAGGCCCTCCGATCTTTTATTCGCATTGCGAGTGAGGGGGTCAGCGGTTGGGGGAATCCGTGTCCTTGGAGGGGGATTCAATCTGTAAGTTTTTAATGTTTCTGAATGAATTAATATTGCAATCTTTCCTAAAAAATTAGTGAATTTCTAACAACTCAATGCAACAGATTATTGGAGTAGTGAATTTGTCCAACCACTACGTGACTGTCAAGATCTCTTTACTCAAGGGGACGATAAGTGTGTTTGACCCTCTACGGCATTCATATTTAGAAAAGAAGAACGAGCACATTCGCGAAAATCGCGTCAAATGACTCCAAAAAATCCAAAATCTAATTCCAGTGGTTGCGACGTATGCGGATGTAGAGAGAGTGAGCAAAAAGTTCGAATTGGAATTCATCGACCACAAAAATACTATCTTGCAACATGATAGAATTAATTGTGGTGTATGCGCTGTGGAGATGGTACGAACATTGCTCACGAGGAAGATGCGTTTCAAGAAGTCTAACAATCAGTTGGCTAAAGCAATGAGGCACAAAATTGCTCTACAGTCTTTTCAGTTTAGTACAGAACCAGACACAATTACCGACCCAGTTCTTTAATGATTCATGTAATACATTTTTATTAATTTTTTTTTTTTTTGCATTTTATTATAATTTTGTTGTATGTTGTATGTATGTGGAATTTCTCATACCTGAAAGAAAAAAATTAAACTAAATTAAACGATGAAAGATGTAAGAAATAAAAAATAAACTTTCGAGTAGAAGTGCGAAGGTGGTATGCGAGCAATAAGCGGCAATTCGCATACACCATCTCATAACTGAAATAACAGAAAGATGAAAGAAATAAAAATAAACTTTCGAATAGAAGTGCGAAGGTGGTATGCGAGCAATATGCGGAAATTCGCATACCCCATCGCATAACTGAAATAACTGAAAGATGAAAGAAATAAAAAATAAACTTTCGAGTAGAAGTGCGAAGGTGGTATGCGAGCAATATGCGGAAATTCTCATACCCCATCACATAACTGAAATAACTGAAAGATGAAAGAAATAAAAAATAAATTTTCGAATAGAAGTGCGTAGGTGGTATGTGAGCAATATGAAAATCCGCATACCCCATCGCATAACTGAAAGATTAAAGAAAAAAAAAACTTTAGAGTTGAAGTGCGAAGGTGGTATGCGAGCAATATGCGGAAATTTGCATACCCCATCGCATAACTGAAATAACTGAAAGATGAAAGAAATAAAAAATAAACTTTAGAATAGAAGTGCGAAGGTGGTATGCGAGCAATATGCGGAAATTCACATACCCCATCGCATAACTGAAATAACTGAAAGATGAAAGAAATAAAAAACAAACTTTCGAGTAGAAGTGCGAAGGTGGTATGCAAGCAATATGCGTAAATTCGCATACCCCCTCGCATAACTGAAAGATGAAAGAAACACGAAAAAAACTTATTATGCACCAACTCTGCGAATAATATGCGACGTTGGTATGTCGCAGAATAATTTTTTCGACTAATAGTCGCAGATTCATTTGCCTAACAAGAATAATTATTTAATGAGCGACGGACCGCGATTGACCGAATCGTACATCGAATCTCCGCATATTCATCGTAGAACAGTCACATACTTTAACTCATACATGTCGCCTATTTATCGCATAGTTCATCGCATATGTCTTCGTACTTTTTGGGGTGAAAAACTTAGCTTTTTATTGGGTGGTGTGAAAAACTTAGTATGACTTCAGAACGGGTGAAAATAGTTATTTCCTTTTTTTTTTTTATTTATCAAAATAGGTATGTGTAGGTTTGAATTTGAACTAGTACGGCACCCGCGCGTTGCGCGGTATCATGTTAAATATATTGATGAATTATAATTTAAACAAATGACAATTTATTTAAAATAATGTCACTTATTAGACATTTGAATAATTATACATATAACATTAGTTGTAGGCGAATTGAGTTTATTATGATCACTATTGTCATTGAAAATATTAATCTTTCGTTTATAACTCTAGAAACAACAATATGCTACTATTATGACTAAGTGCATGTTTTTTCAGCAACAATATCACATATAACAACAATAGTTGACTTTTGATCAACTCACATTGCCTAAGACAACATAATAAAAATTATCATCGTTGGAATTTAAATAGTAGTCTTGAATTGGAAAACATCAAGGATAATTGTAGAGCAAAAAAAGAAAATTATGCTGCGAGAATTTTACCTTTTATACTTTAATATTGTGTTTTTAGTTTTTTTGTTGAATTAAGAGATTCTTCAATATCATCATTAGTCATCAAGTCAATAACATATCTAGCTATTTGCACTGAAAATTATTTATAAACGAAAGCTAATTAAACTTCTTGAAATATGCATTGAGATTTTCGCTGTAATATGCATTGAAATATAGCAGACAATTTTTACTCCAACATACATGTTAATTGATGAATAACTTCTGATAGTTTTTTTTTAATTTATTACTTTTGAACACAAATTCACATTAATTTTAATTGCACAATAAATGTTTAATTGAATATAATGTTTATAAATTATAAATTTTGAAACCTATCAATTTAGTTCCAAAAAATAACTTGCATGAGATTTTACATTTTGAAAAATATTTATAAATTTTAGTTCTCAATTCACCTTCTTAGTCCTAACACATTGTGAAATTTTATTTAATTATTTCAAACTAAAAAAAGTTAGAGATGAAGTTGTGTTTTAAAAAGATTATTATTCTACTTCACAAAAAAAAATGACTTATTTTTTTTTTTAAAATTAAAACCAATATTCAATAAGTCAAAATATAAATTAAATTTTCCTTAACATAATGTTCTCGTCAATATGTTTATATATTTCATCTATAATAACATTCAATAATAAATATATGCAACCTTTTATATTTTATATATTTTTAAGACAAATTATATTATTTTCAGACAATATTTTTTTTTATCTTGATTTAACCTTTTCTATAAATTTAGGTACACTAAGCCTAAGTGAGTTAGTACATTATTTATTCACGTTAATAAAATATTATTTTCGATAATAACCACAAACTTGGATATTATAACTTCACGTTAAAAAACCATCATTTTCGATATCAACCCCAAACTTTGATATTAATTATACCCTTACTTCTTAATTTTATACCCTTTATCTGTCCGATAGTTTGAACAATATTACTTGAATTATCCAACTCTAGAAAGGCTAACAGAAGATGATGATATGTTACTTAATTTGAGTTGATGTGTGTAATATATCTAATTCACACCAACAAAAATAAAAATAAAAATAAAAAATTAAACTTTGTATATAATTGATTTTTAATTATTTTTTACATATTGCATTTGAATCTGACATAATTTCTTAATCTAACTGAAAAATAAAGATAAATGTTTTATCTCATTTTGATTTTTTGTCCCAACATTGATCTAAATGAGATATTGTCATGAGTTCCAAAAAAATAACTTAAAAAAACACTTTCATTTAAAATTGTTTTCAATAATTAGTAAATGAAATTATGTTAATTCTTTATAATAATAAAAAAATATTATATATATATATAAAAAAAAGAACTTGCACTTACCCATCAAAAGTGGGAAATTTACGAAAGTGATTTGTGCAATCCTCCAAAAAATTTAAAAGGTTGGTAATTTGGCCTTAAAAATTAGAATATATTCATAATAAATAATTATAATTATATTTAAGTAGTTATTTATAAAAATAATTATGATTATGTCTTGAATTATAGATCATGCATAGGAATTAATAAATTTGTGTGAGATTAATAAATAGTCTTTGAGGAAAAGTAATATTTTCTCAAAGTACTCCGTAGTAGTATACATATAAAAACTAAAAATTTTCTCAAATTAATTATATATATATATGTTACTTTTAAATTAAAAACTAAAAATTATTTTTTTCTATATTTATTTAAGTGAGATTGTGTCCTATGTTAGTACTATGACGAAAATAATAAAAATTCTAGTATGTAAAAAAGAACTCCCATTTACCTTGAAAATAATAAAGACCAAAATAATTAATATGGCCATCCACAAAATTGAAGTGATATTATTTGTCTTTGAGAATAGGATAATAGTTTTTAATAAATAATTATATTTATAATTAAGTGTTTATTTGTAAAACTAATTATGTTATTGAAAAAATATTAATTTAGTCTTCCACTTCAACATAATTGAAGGTGTAATTACTTGACCTTGAGAATATGAGAGTAAATTTTTAACAAATAAATACATTTGTAATTATATATTTATTATAAAAATTAATTATGTTTATGGTTGAGTTACATAAAAGTTAAAAACAAGTATAGTAAATGAAGCTTTGGGAATAGAAGAGTAATTATTTAATAAGTAAATAAATATATACATATAATTAAGTGTTTTTTTTTTTTTTGTTTTTGTAAAAACAAATTAAGTTTATGGTTGTATTACATAGAAGTTATCAAAATTTATTTCAGTATAATAAATGTAGTTTTGGAGGGAAAAAAGATTTTTTTCCAGTTGCTTAGCTTTAATATATATAGATTTGCCCTGATAAAAATTTAGGGTAAAATGCACCAAACCCCCCTGTAATATACTAAATCTACGCGTTATCCACTCTATTTTAAAAAATGCGTCAAACCCCCTTCTATTGTAGTTTGACTAGTACACTACCCCCGTCATCTTAGACGGTTTAGGGTGTTTCGCGCAAGCCAAACTAAAATAGAAGGGGGTTTAATGTATTTTTTAAAATAAAGGAGGATAACGCGCAAATTTAGTAATATTATAAGGGGATTTGGTACCCTAAAAATTTATGTATCCGATATCCCACCATCTCATGTTGGTCCCACTTTTCAGTACAATTCAACCTGCACTGTCTTGGGAAATATCTTCTCCCGAATTCCTGCCACCATGAACACACCACTCTGCTCACTTCATATCTCTGTTGACAGAAAATGTTGCCCGGTTTTGTACATTTACCTTCAATTTCAAATCCCCCAACCCCTTTCCTCCACAAATCTTATTTCAACGCATTTGTCTTCAGGCACGGGTCGAAGTCCCACACATGCTTCACATATCCACCGTCCAATCAAAATCCGATCAGCGGCGAGGAGTCACGGTGGCTGAGAGAGGAACAGCGGTGGCTGAGGGAAGAGAAGCGGTGGCTACGAGAGGAGTCCCGATGGAACTCCGAGCGCCAAGCTTTGTTGCAGGAAATAAGCAGCCTTAAGCTTAGAATCCAAGAGCTTCGACGGCTTAATTCAGTTCAAGGGGGAACCTCGGCCTCCGATACTATTGCGAATTTTGCGAAACTGCTGCAGGTATGTAGATAGATTTCGAACCTTTTGGATTGTGTTACGTTTGTCAATTGAACTGCAATTATTATGTTCTGCAAATTGTTACTCAAGGAAAGAATTTGGAGTGATTAATCTTTATGTTTATTAGGAGTTCATGTTTTGTGCCTTCCACTTGCACATAGAAAAGAAATCTATTTAGTTACTATGTCAAATCACTAGACATGATTTGTTTCATCTGCATTTGGCATATGCCATACTTATTTATGACGTAATGCTTAGTGAGTGAATCTGTATGACTATAACATAGTAATTTGATGGTGATGGATACTTCAGTTTTTTTGTTCTTAGGTTCTGAAGGAGGGTGACTCGGGGAAGATTGTGAACAGAATTGCTGAGGGTGGTGAAAGCACTGTGCCGTTTATATTTGAGACCACAAAAAAAGAAGAGGAAGTTGCCATAAAGGAAGTAATTAGCATTCCAGATAAAAAGGAAATAGCAAAAACGAGGGTAACTTTGAGAAAAGGATCAGAAGGAGATCAAGTTCGAGAGATGCAGGTATGATTTGTTGCTACTAGCATTCAAACGCTCTATTAGCTACCATTTTTGTTATGCTTCGTTATATTTTATGCCTTAATTCACCCATTATATACGAATCTAAGTTAAGTTTTTGGTGTCTCTAGAACATTATGATGTGTTATATCACATTTTATGTAGATCTTCAACATTAGTTCTAGAAAAACAAGTGAAAAGCTTAGATTAGAAGAGAGCTCTGCTTAATAGGCCATAATTTTGGTTCGAGTGTTATGCAACACTAAACGACCATCTGGGAGGACCTGGACACCTTGGTCAGTACGGTGTCTGCCAGCGAGAAGCTCTTCGTAGGAGGAGACCTAAACGGCCATGTGGGCGCGACTAATGTAGGTTTCGAGAGAGTGCATGGAGGATTTGAGTATGGTAGTAGAAACGAAGAGGGGGAGGGTGTGTTGGACTTTGCGATGGGCTACGACTTGTTGATAGCGAACACCCTCTTTTGGAATAGGGAATCTCACCTAGTGACCTTCCGAAGTGGACGACACTCAAGTCAGATCGACTTTATCCTTGCAAGAAGGGAGGATGGACGCGCTTGCGTAGATTGTAAGGTGATACCTGGGGAGTGTGTTGTCCCCCAGTATAAGCTGGTAGTAGAAACGAAGAGGGGGAGGGTGTGTTGGACTTTGCGATGGGCTACGACTTGTTGATAGCGAACACCCTCTTTTGGAATAGGGAATCTCACCTAGTGACCTTCCGAAGTGGACGACACTCAAGTCAGATCGACTTTATCCTTGTAAGAAGGGAGGATGGACGCGCTTGCGTAGATTGTAAGGTGATACCTGGGGAGTGTGTTGTCCCCCAGTATAAGCTGGTGGTGGCGGACTTTCGATTCCGAATACGTGTCCACCGAGACAAACGTGCCAAAACCGTGAGAACGAAGTGGTGGAAGCTTAAAGGGGAAGCGGCACAGACGTTTAGAGCATGTTTGTTTATGGAAATTTTCAAAAAATTTCTAACATTATAACTCAACCACTTTTTTAATTCAACTTTAGCTCAATCTCACTATCATAAATATTATCAATATAATTAAATAATATCAATCAATCATTCATACACACCAAATCAACCTTAATTCACTATTCATACACTCACATTATTTTAACTAACCATCACATCAAACCATCTCTTTCCTACTTTTACATCAAATCATTTTAATTGTTTTATTTTAATATTATTTTAATATACCCACTAACAACTAACCATACCACCTTTTTCAAAATTAACCAAACCAAATCAAAAAATTCAAACAAAACCAAAAATTTATATAAACAAACATGCCCTTAGGGATAGGATGCTAGGCGAGGGTCATTGGGAAGAAGGAGAAGATGCAGATAACATGTGGCTAAAGATGACAACATGTGTACGGAAGGTGGCTGCAGAAGTACTTGGTGTGAGTAGGGGAGACAAGCGGAATGCGAAAGACACTTGGTGGTGGAATGACGAGGTGCAAAGGGCTATTCAGGAGAAGAAAGAGTGTTTCAAGCGTCTCCACCTTGACAAGAGTGCAACTAACATGGAGAGCTATAAAACAGCGAGGAGGGCTGCAAAGCGTGCCGTGAGTGTAGCGAAGGGTCAGGCTTATGATGACCTTTATCAGCGCCTAGGCACGAAGGAGGGGTAGAAGGACATTTATAGGATAGCGAGGATTCGGAAGAGGAAGACAAGGGACATCAACCAAATCAAATGCATCAAGGATGGGTCGGATTGACCACTGATGAAGGATGGGGAGATCAAGGACAGATGGCGAGAGTACTTCGACAAATTGTTTAATGGGGAGAGTGAGGGTCCTACCCTGGAGTTGGATGACTCATTTGAGGATACCAATAGACGCTTGGTGAGGAGAATTCGGGAGACAGAGATCGGAGAGGCTATAAAGAGGATGAAGGGAGGTAAAGCAATGGGCCTTGATGGTATCCCTATTGAGGTGTGGAGATGCTTGGGCGCCAGAGCGTAAATATGGCTAACTAAGCTTTTTAACCTCATTTTCTGGTCAAACAAGATGCCTGATGAATGGAGGAGAAGTACTTTAGTACCGATCTTCAAGAACAAGGGTGATGTTCAAAGCTGTGGTAACTACCGTGGGATTAAGTTGATGAGCCATACGATGAAGCTCTGGGAGAGGGTTATCGAGCATTGCCTACGACGAGTGACGAGTGTGACCCAAAACCAATTTGGGTTTATGCTTGGAAGGTCGACCATGGAGACGATTTTCCTAATACGACAGTTCATGGAGAGATATAGGGACCAAAAGAAGGACTTGCACATGGTCTTTATCGACCTTGAGAAGGCTTATGACAGAGTACCGAGGAATGTCATGTGGTGGGCTTTAGAAAAGCACAACGTCCCATCTAAGTACATTACCCTCATCAAGGATATGTACAAGAATGCGATGACATGTGTCCGAACATGTGGGGGTGATACCAGCGACTTCCCAATTAAATTATGACTACACCAGGGGTCAGCATTGAGCCCTTATTTATTTGCTTTGGTGATTGACCACAAGGGACATACAAGGTGATATCCCTTGGTGTATGCTCTTTGCTGATGATGTGGTGCTAGTTGACGAGAGTAGGGTAGGGGTAAATAGGAAGTTAGAGCTGTGGAAGGAGACGTTAGAGTCGAAAGGCTTCAGACTTAGTAGGACGAAAACCGAGTACATGACGTGCGCTTTCAACATGGCTACTCATGATGATGGTGACGTTAGCCTCGACGGGCAAGTGGTGGCCAAGAAGGAGACTTTCTGGTATTTGGGATCGATGCTACAAAAGGATGGCAGCATTGATGAAGATGTTAGGCATAGAATTGCAGCCGGATGGTTTAAATGGCGTCTAGCTTCGGGCGTTCTCTGTGATAAGAGGGTGCCACAAAGGCTAAAAGGTAAGTTCTATAGGACGGCGATTCGCCCGGCGATGCTATACGGTGCTGAATGTTGGCCTACAAAAAGGCAACATGTCCAACAACTAAGTGTAGCAGAGATGTGTATGCTGCGTTGGTTTTGCGGGCACACAAGAAAGGATAGAATCCGGAATGAGGATATTCGAGATAAGGTCGGGGTGGCTCCAATTGAGGAGAAGTTGGTTCAACATCGGCTGAGGTGATTAGGACATATCCAACGAAAGCCTCCTGATGCACCGGTGCGTAGGGGAGTTGTACAGCGGATCGATGATGTGAAAAGAGGTAGAGGTCGACCTAAACTCACTTGGGAAGAGTCGGTTCAGAGAGACGTTAAAAATTGAAATATCTCCAAGGATTTAGCGGTGGATAGGAGCGCTTGGAGGCTAGCGATCAACGTGCCGGAACCGTGACTTTTGCTCCTTTCTCTTTTGCTCCAATCTCTCTCTTTTGTTTTGTTTTGTTTTTGTTTTGAGCTCTTTTTGTGTTTCTCCTACCACTGTTTCTCTTGTGTTTCATCTCTAGCCTACCCCAAGTTGTTTGGGATTAAAAGGCTTTGTTATTGTTGTTGTTGTTGTTGTTATGCTACACTACTTTAACTATTGTAATAACTAATGGAACGTGGCGCGATTCTGCATCCCCTGTACGAACCAGACAGTAAACTTACGATCCATGGAGACGAACTGAGCAAAGAGTTCCCGGACACCGCATGGAAAGCCTACCTTCTCTGAGCCATGCAAAGATTGCCCCGCCCCAATATACATTAAGTCAAAAGAAAAAGCATGAGAGCACAAAATAATGCTGAGGAGGTCTTATTGATCTTAATGGAAGCGAGCTGGCCTTACTTGGGACACTGACAGGATTTTGACAAAGATCCAACGAACAATAGCTATGCAGGTCAATATCTGTATGTCAAAAACATGGCCACTCCTTTGAAATGAAATAATTATATTAGGAACAATAAGTGGCTGACACGTGTACGAGAGCAAGTGTCCTCCAATATGAATGAAAGTCCGATGTACAGTAGGGACATTTATTTAAAGAGAGCAATAAAAGCTAGGATTAAAAGCTCTCTTATCTATTGATTACTTCTTCTCGCTACAGTAGTTCCGGCCTTTGTCAACAAACAAACCCGCGCTAGGCCTACGTTTATACAACCAACTCCAAATCAAAACCCATTGATGAAGTTACTCGTCAGCAAACTACATGAGAACAACTATGGGTTACCTATTTGTATAATAACATCTATAAGTTGGGGCCACACGTGTTATGAATCAATTCTCAAGAGTTTTCATGTAGTTCAATATTTGCTAGGTTCTTTTTGTAACTATCATAATCCTTTGGGGTGGCTTATGCTTCTCTGATAGTGATGCTTTTTTATGTTGTCTTTGATAGGAAGCTCTAGAGAAACTTGGATTTTACTCTGGTGAGGAAGATATAGAATTTTCAAGCTTCTCAAGTGGAACCGAGCGTGCTGTAAAAACTTGGCAAGTAAGTTTTCTCTATGAGAGAACTCTCATCTCCTTGTTGATATGATATAATATAATATGATGCATCTCTCTCTCTCTCTCTCTCTCTCTCTCCTCTCTCTCTCTCTCTGCTTGTGTACATTTGTCAAGAGTTTACAAGAATATTCTGGTCAAACCCCTCAAGGGATCACAAACACATTTTTAGTTAAAATGCTACCAAATGAATAATACAAGGAAAGAAACCAAAGTTACGCCACCTGAAAGAATACCAAAAATTTATCTCATCAAATGCGAACTGTTATCTTTATCCATAGAGATATTCAAGGAACCATGTGATTCTTATATTTCTACCTCTTTTCTTTTCTTTTCCCATCATTTTTGGAGGCCACGATAGGAGCCACAGAAGATGGCATTATGACTTCTGAACTTTTGGAGAGACTTTTTGGAACTTCTGGTTCAGGAATGAATAAAACTTTAAAACATGAAGCTGGTGATGCAGATAAGGTATGTTTCATTGCTTGATGTGATGAGTCGCTATCTAAATAAGAAGGATAAATTTAAAAAGATATAGTACTTTGGTGTCAACCTAATTTCTTCAATAAGAAAGAATTTTTTTTCTGGCATAAGATAGCGACTCATCACATCAAGCACGGGAAGAAAGTGACTAGATATCCCACTCTTGGGACTGAAAGAAAATCTTTATATGGAGTAAAAAACGACTGATGACCACTTAAAGTCCAACTTTTTTCTGCTAATGTCTGTTGGCTCCTTACGTGTACACCCCTCCTGTAATGCCCCGTTTATTTGTAAAATATTTGAGAATTATTTAAATTAATATTGCTATTATTATTATTATTATTGTTATTATTATTATTATTGTTATTGTTGTTGTTGTTGTTACTTATTATTAATATTATTATTGCCATTAAATGCCTAATTGTTTCAAATGCTTATTAATATTAAATAAATATTAAAGCCTAATTTAATTTATTTTATAGTAGTGCGACCGAACCGAGCTTTTATTTTTAATCGTCGACTACTTCCTCGAAACTTAGTGTTGGCCCAACCTTTAATTATTTTTCTGCCCAAATTTGTATAAATCTCGGCCCAACTTTGTGAGATTTCAGGCCCTCTATATTATTCTTACCGGCCCAATTGAACGTTAAGTAAA